TTAATTTAAATTTGTTGGTAAATGAACAGATTATTTTATATGCTTTGTATTATTTGAAGGTATTTTAGTAAAAAATGACTTCAAGAAGACTCTCTATGTGTCTCACAACAAAAAGATTTAGAAGTTTCAAATATGAGAAAGATATGCCTTAAAAAGATATTTCCCAAATGAGGAGAGAAGAAAAATTAATATAAAACTTGCAAAGTTCTTTGAATATTTAGAGGATTTTGGTGATCAAGAATCTTTGGTTGATAGATGGAGGATGGATCAAAAAATGTGGTGGTTGATTCATGGAGCTTCAGTACAACTTTTTCAAATAATAGCAATAAAACTTCTTGGTCAAGTATTATCATCTTGCTGTTGTGAGAGAAATTAGAGCACATACTCATTTATTCAATCAATGAAGAGGAATAAAATAACTCCACAACGTGCTGATGATTTAGTTTATGTGCATACAAATCTTCGCCTTCTATCAAGGAAAATCCCACTTTATATGACAGGTGATAACAAGATGTGGGATGTTGTTGGAGATGGGTTTTAGTGCCTTGATGATATGAGATTATTGGAGGTTGCAAATCTTTCTCTAGATGAACCAGAGTTGGAAGCAGTGATATTCAATAATGATGATATTGAAGGCCAATGACCAACATCTGAATCTAATTCTATCATTCCTCTATTGAGTAGTTGAACCTTCATGTTGTACTAAATGATTTTTTGCTTTTATTTTTGTGGTTGTACTAGACATTTTGTACTAAACATCTTTATGTTATAAGCTAAACAATCTATCATGAAATTGATTTATTATTGCTTGTCATTTTTAATATAATGTCACCTTAATTTCTATATATCATATTAAAAAAGTATTATGCCGTGTCCACGCCGCACCTGTGTCCTATATTTTTAAAAAATGCCGTGTCCCGTGTCCGTGTCGTGTCGTGTCCGTGTCGGTGCATCATAGGTGAGAATATTTATAACTTGATTTCTCATTGGCATATATGTAGTGCAAATCAACCCACTTTCTACTTTTTCTTTTATGAATGATTATCCACTTCCAAATGCTTGGTACAATCATGTTGTATTGTATTATAAGCAATATTAATGATATATTTATTACTATTATATCTCCATTGTCCATTTTCATTTGATTTTTAAATATTATAAGTTAATTTTAATATATAGAAGCTCATATATTCCTTTAGCAATGGCTTTAAATTATTGTTCAACATTAGATTTGGAACCAACAGGGTTTTTGCTACTCGTTGTTATGGGATTTTCTCGAAAAAATATACAATATTTAGTTGTGGATCTTCTATCCATTGGTGATCTTGCATAATCTATAGTAAAATACCTTTTAGTTTTCAAAGTTTCCTGCATTTTACATAAAATTCTTTTATCTGGACTTGATTTAAGATATTTACGGATTATATAAGCTGCTTTAAGGTGAGACTCTTTAGGGATATGCATGAATTGATCGATATATTTGCTATAAATATAATGTCTAGATGGATGAGAGATATATAGATTAGTTTACCAACTAATCCTTGATATTGTCCCATGTTTACCTTGTTTTTCTTTTTCACGTGCATTCAATTTTTTATTTGGTTCAGTTGAGGTTTCACAAGGTTTGCAATTTTTGTTTATTTTAGTTTCTTTATTAGATCTAAATGATAATTTGACATTTAATAGGACACAATGGAGAAAAACAAATTCATGTAGCCGACCCCACGTAGTGGGATAAAGGCTTGATGTTGTTGTTTTTGTTGTTTCGATTTATGGTATATTTTTATTAATAGAGGAATATTCCTTATTTTGATTGAGCAATTTTTATTCCAAAGAAGCAATTGAGCTTAGGAGTGTCAATTTTTGACACGACCTGAAACCCTACCCGAAGAAATATGGGTTCGGGTCAACCCGGTTAGCAAACTGGTTGGGTTCGGGTTCAGATTTTTGACCTGTTTGTAAAAATGGGTCGGGTTCGGGTTGACTCGAAAACTTGAAATCAACCCGAATTTGACCCGGGTCCATTAACCCAATAATCTGGGCTCCCGCTTCCGCAATCCGGGCTCAGCCGCTCCGCTTTCCGCTTACTTTGTTCGACAATCCAGGCTCAACCGTTCAGTGCCGCAATCCGGGCTCCCGCTTCCGCAGGATTGCAATCCGGGCTCAGCCGCTCCGCTTGCCGCTTCCGCAATCCGAGCCCAGCCTACCCAATAGCCGCTCCGCTTTGACGCTTCCCGCTTCCGCACGTGTGACGAGCCCAAGTTAACCGCCTTCAAGTCCACGCGGACCAAACCACGCGATTTGGGCTCTCGCTTTCGCATTCCCAATTTCCGGGTCAGGTCGTGTCAACCCGGCAACCCGGGTTCGGGTTGCATTTTTTGACCTATTTGCAAAAACGGGTCGGGTTCGGGTCGTGTCAAATAGCGTCTGGTCAGTTCCGATTTTGACCCGAACCTGACCTGTTGACCCGAATTTACACCCCTAGTTGAGCTTGTCTAACTCTTTGATCTTAAATTCTTCAACAAGCTTTTTCTTGATAATCTCTTTTTTTAATTGTCATCAACATATAAAATGAGAATTGAGATTTTATCATTGGTACGATATTTTATGAAAATGGTATGATCCCTTTAGTTTTGCTTGTATCCAACTTTATTTATGATTTTTATGAATCTAACAAACTATGCTCTCAAAGATTATTTAAGGCTATATAGAGCTTTTTTAAATTTGCACATTTTGTTATTTGTAAAAGAATTTTAAAATCTAAGTGATGGATCCATATAGACTTATTCATCAATTTCCCTTTGTAAGAGCATTCTTTACGTTATACAAGAGAAATTATGATGGCAAATTTTTTTCTACAAGAGCAAAAGTTTTGTATTCATGTTGGATGATTAAAATGGAGGAATGCATCGAGTTTGTTGTGTGATAGAAAAGCCCCCCTCAAACTTAAAAAAAAATTTCTATAAGATGGTGGTGAGACTTGCAATGCTTTATTAGTGCAAAATGTTGGCCTTTAAAAGAGAAGCATAATCTTAAGTTAAGTGTTACAGAGATGAGGATGCTCAGGTGAATGAGTGGCTTTACTCTTAGAAAAAGGATACAAAATGAGTATATATGTGAAAAAGTTGTAGTATCTACAGTCGAAGATAATATTAGAGAGAGTCGCCTTAGATGGTTTGGTCACATAAAGCAATGGCTTTTTGATGACCCGGTTAGGAGAGTAGATTAATTAGATTTGGCTTATGTTAAGAAAGTCAGAGTTACACCTAAAATGACTTGGCTAGAAAGTACTAGAAATAATCTTTCTTTATTAGATTTAAATAAGAATTCGACTCTTAACAGGACATAATGGAGAAAAAAAGATTCATGTAGCTAACCCCATGTAGTGGGATAAAAGCTTGATGTTGTTTTTGTTTTACAAGAGCAAAAGTTTCTTGGTTCTCATCTCCATAAGATCGAGTATATTCTTTGGCCATCAATGTCTCTTTTTAGTGTCTTAAATAGCGTTCATGGTATTGTAATGAAATGGGATATAGAGAGATTGCATAGTGTTGGATTGATTATTGTTACCTGTTAATGATTTTGATCCTTGAGCTTATTGAAGATTTTCGTTGGGCTTATTCCTTTGTTTTTTATAGACCTGAAAGTTATAATTTTGGAATTTTTGTCGTTAGAATGTCAAGGTGAATGAGAGAAGTTTCATCTTATTTATATTTCAGTTGAGAGTTCTTCCTTTGATGATGAGCTTGATTGAACAAAACTTTCTTTTCATCAAGGTTTACATTTTTTAAAGTATAGAATTTTTTTTTTGGTGGTAGGATGATAATACTTATACCTATTTTGAGTGGAGGAATATCTAATAAAGACACATTTGAGGGCACTATGATCAAGTTTACCATTATTTTATTTGTGGAAGTAAATATAGGCAATGCACTAAAAAATTTTTGATGAAATTTTTAGAGGAAGTTATTTGTGGGGGAAAATTTAGCTTCATAGTTTAAAGCACTTTTGAAGCCTATCACTATTGAGGGTATTATTTTGATTAGGTTTGTGGCAGTTAGGACTATTTTTTTCTCCAATATTGTTTTGACACTTTATTCTGGAAAAAAATAAAAGTCCTTGGATTTTCAGAATATGGCGATTTTCCTTTTTATAGCCTATTTTGTTAGACAGTGTCAAGATAGGAGAATTGATGGATTTTTTTTGTAAGAAAGATGATAACGTGTGATTACAGTGTATTATTAGGCAAGATTACTGTTATGTTAGTATTAAATTTTTTATATCATGGCTGTAAAATGGGAAGAATTATACTGAAATCAAATTTTTGTTTAGTAAGATTTAGCTGTATCATTCGAGTGCAATTATCAATAAAAGTTGACAAATTCTACAGTTCTATAAATATTGAGATTTTGGAAGGCCTTGAATGTCAAAGTGAACAATTAAAAAAGAGGAGAAAAATTATAATTACTTAAAAAAAAAAACAGCACTATAATGTTTATCAATTTTACAGGTCTCACAATGAAATTTTTTCAGGTCTAAATCATAAAAGAGAAGGAAACATACATATAAGGTTTAAAAGAGGGATACACTAATCTATAAATTGTTCCCATATAGCTTGAATATTACACACATCAATATTTTGTAGAAACTTGCTTTTAAGTCAAATACAGAAGGAAAAATTGGTATAAATATGATGTGAAACATACAAGCATGGATGATTAAAGTAAGGAAGTTTGCACGCTTAAATTTTAAAGCACAATAATTATAAGCTTCCTCTTGATGATAAACGACCCAGATTGACTATTTTCTTATTGAAGGAAAAATTGGTATAAATACCCAACCTTCCTCTTTCCCCGCTGTTGGTCTCATGAACTGTATCATTTGTATGTAACATTTTATTTTAAAACCAGTTGGAATCAAATCATTTGTACTTCATTTTATTTAAGAAAATGCACTATTCTTCACATTAATTTGCTTTGTTTTTTTATTTCTGTTATAAGGTTTTGGATACCAGAGGACGCTTGCTGACAGCTCTTGGATACGGGCTGTGGCCTTCCATGGTTCTCCTTTCTGAAATAGTTCAAACATTCATCCTTGCTGATTTCTGCTACTACTATGTTAAGAGGTCTCATCTAACTTCTCTTCCCAAAAACCATGACGCTTATTGACGACAAATTATTCTGTGCGGAGTGTGGACGTCGTCCAGAGACTAATAAAAATGTGCCACATCACCCCAAAAGTGTACCGCACTCGGTACCGAGCGACGGTACCACGCTCGGTACCAAGCCATACGGGACGGTTCTCCCGTCCGGTATCCGCACAGAATAATCTCTCCTTATTGACACCGACTTCATTATTTGCCTTCAAAACTTTTTCTAAGATATCAACTTTGTTGTTCTGCAGCGTCTTCGGCGGACAACTTGTGCTACGTCTTCCTGCTGGTGTCGTTTGAATTTAGCTTCCCCACCTACAGTAAGAAATGCAAACATTAGAATTTTTTTGTGTTTCCTTGGCCTGTTGGTTTTCTTCAGGCAATCAATGAGCGCGCTTGTTGTGGTAAATTAAAACAAGTTTGGATCGAAAGATGTAGATATTGAAGTTTCTATTAAGCACTTTTATGAGAAATTAGATTATGAGTTTCTTTAAGCCACTTTGGTTGTGGAATGCGAGTCAAAGGAAATGAATTTAGTGGGTGAAATTTCTTTGATGATTGGTGATATGATCACAATTTTTATTCACATTGCATTATTATGAAGCTCGTAGAGGATCGAACATTTTTTTCATTTTGCTATAAAATTAAATATAATAAAAACAAATATAAATAAAAAAGGTTGTTTTTATTTGCTATAAAATTAAAAAATAAAAAGCCATATCCAATGGTGTAAGAATTAAGTCATTCAAGCCCAAATTCAACAGAAGGAGCTTTTATTAGTGTTTGAGGGATTAAAATAAAACCCAAAATATTAGTTTATTAGGATTTGCAACAAGATCATCATCAAGCCTTTATTCCACTATGTGGGATCAGCTACAAGAATCTTTTTTCTCTATTATGTCCTGTTAAGAGTTAAATTATCATTTAAATTTAATAAAGAAAAGCCATTTCTAATATTTTCTAATCAAGTCTTTTTAGATTTATCACTACTTTTTAACATAAGTCAAATCTAATACATATACTCTCCTAACTGCATCATTGGAAGGCCTCCGTTTTATGTGACCAAAATAACTAAAATCATTAATAGCATAAAAAAATAATTAAAAATTTTCTTTAACTCTAAATATTAGCAATTCAAAATTATAAGAGACTTAAATATGCAAAAAAAAAATTATCATTCTAAAAAGATAATATTTTAGTTTTCTCTCTCACAAATTATAGATCATTTCTATAATTTATAGTTTATACACAGCATTCAAGCATTAGCAAAAGATGCCTACAATCGATCTAGAATATATTTTTTACCCAAAATATAAAATTTTGGTAAGAAAAAAATAAACATTGCAGAAAATAGCCATACACTTTTTTAACCAATTTAAAATATTTAAGAAATAGATTAGAAGAACATATCCTTTTTTTTCACAATATTGATCAATAAAGCAAAAGGTTAGGCATTCGCAATTGAGTAACTATATAATAAATGAGTCGAATTCAAATCAAATTATTAAATCTAATCAACTTTAAGACTTCGTTTGGAGGAGTTTTCTTACTGCTTTTTCAAACAATTTTTTAGTACGTAAATTTTAATTTTTGTATTAAAAAAATATTTTAAGAAATAATAAAAAAAACTGTCCAAAACAAAGCCTAAATTAGACCCAAACTATACCAATTAATCAATTTGTGTGTGAACAACGGATCACCTGGATGCGAATCAAATCGCGCCACGTCACCCATTTGCTATGTACCACAGCTGTGTACCGTTATATACCGAGATGACGTGACACGCTCTGATTCGTCCGCACAGAATAATCTCTCCTAAATAAGGCTCCTCATCTCTTCCATCAGATCATTCGCCTCTTCCCAAAAACAGAATTGTAAAAAAATATATATTTTGAACTCAAAAGGAGAATAAAAATTTGTTTATTAATCAGTAAAAGTTTAACAAAATCACAAATCAGATTTATGACAGTATAGGAAAAAGGCTCAGCTCTTTTATGAAAATAAAATTTAAACAAACATGACTTTATTCAACATAGGAGCAAATACTGACACAAAAGTTAGGCAGCAACTTTCTTCTCAGTCGCTGAATTGACAATGACAGCAAATTCTGGGCCCTGCAACCATCAAAGACATAGATGATCATACAACTGGTGCTAATTAATCTGAAGAACCTTACCTTATAAACAAGCAACTGCGCTTAACTTCTCATGATCATAATGCTTATCCCATCGCCATCACCGTGGCTTGGCTTCGTTTGGGATGACTTTCTTATTGTTTCTTAAAGCAGCTTTCTACTTTTGTAGTAGAAAGCTGCTTTAAAAAGTAATAAGAAAGCTGTCTCAAATGAAACCTTAGTTATATTCCAACTATTTGGAGTATCACATTTTATGCATTTTTTTTTAATAATTTTTATTCGTTTCATTACTTATTTTTTCTATTTTTTAGATATTAGCTTTATTTACTCATCTTATTGATTTCATTTTTTATATTTTTTTCTATTTTTTAGACATTAGGTTTACATACTCATCTTGTTGATGTATTTTTTATCCTTCTTTGTTCACATGTCCTAATCAACCAAGGGCAAGCAGAATATACCTTCAAGGAGGCACCACCAACAAGAAAGCCATCAATATCTTCCTTCTTTGCAAGATCTGCGCAGTTACTGCCATTAACAGAACCTGAAAGTATATGATGCTGTTAGAATCAAGCTCTGATAATAACAACTAATACCAGAGGATTAATCCATATTTGACTGCATAGTAGCATCAACAACAGAATATACTGACATGTAAGCGTGCATAAGAGAGGAGCCTTTTACCAGATTTGAAGTGAAACAACACATGAATTGTTAATATTTTAGTGGTGAGTCTTCACATATTGGCTTGACTTTTTGGGGTTTTGTGCAACCATTTAGGGTATATTTGGCTCAACTTGGACCGAAGTATTCCACCCTCTTAATAAATAATAGTAGAGATGATCATTTTGCAAGGACTTAGCATCGTAGGCTATTGCCACTCTGGAATTTTTCGTCTACGAAGAATTTCGTTTGCCGTGAGATTTGGTTTTGCGTTTTAGGCCGTTTGGATAGAAATCCAGCCTAAATCATGCTACCAAACAGCCCCTATTGGTTAACGTAGATGAATTTCATGTGAGTAGGAGAGTATTGAAGTGCACATAAGAGTGGAATATAGCCCAATATTAAAAGTAAAACAAAAGCTGAGTTCTTAATATGCTAATAGATGTTCTTATCCATTAACTTAAGCTTTTAGGTTCATCAAGGTTCACCATTAGCACATTGAGCTCAATTTCGACCACCAATATTTCACAAGCACTAACAAGATCGTCCTTTCATTTTCATAAGATCAAGATTAGTTTTCCTTTTTTTTTCTATTCCATAGACTTTTCCAATAAATAAATCAGAAGCTCTACAAAAAACTAGCCAAGCCTCCCTACAATTACTTCCATTGTAGAATGTACTAAGGGAAAAATATGCATGCAGTGTATGCCCCTTCATGAGTTTGTGAGAGTGAAGGTGTGGGTGATGGATTTTGTTTTGTGAGTAGGTAATACAACTTGTATTTCCAATGAAAAATATCCATGTGGATACTGGATGTTAAATATACAAGTAATGAGGGAACTTATGGTTACCTCCATATATTATTCGAGTCTCAGAAGCAACTTCAGCTGAGACATTCTTCTTTAGCCAATCACGAACTGCAGCATGTACCTCCTGAGCTTGCTCTGGAGTGGCAACTTTGCCTGTGCCAATAGCCCATACAGGCTCATAGGCAATAACAATATTTGTCCAACTGGACACATTATCTGAAAAAGCCAAGCAAATAATAGTCTCGTTTAAAAAAGGTATATAGATCATATAAAATTATGTAGAGCAAACAATGTAAATTAGTGGGATAAGGCTTTGTTTGGGACGGCTTTTTTTCTGCTTCTTAAAACAGCTCTTTAGCATAAAAATTTTAATTTTTGTACTAAAAAGCTACTTTAAGAAGCATAAAGAAAGCCGTCCCAAACAAAGCTTAAAGAAAGAAATGGAACTTCTGCATTTCACCTGCAAAACCCTTTAGCTGCTGAAAACAAACATCAAAAGTTTTTCCTGCTTCTCTTTCATCTAACTTCTCTCCTATACAGGCAATAACCTTAAGATTCTGGCTCAAGGCGTAAGCAGCTTTCTTCCCTATAAACTGAAGATCACTAAGTTTCAGAATAATATTTACTGAATAATTCACATATCATAGAATCTTGATATGTTTTTATAACTGGGTCAAAATAGATGAGGAAGCTTGTGAAAACATTACCTGGTCATCTTCCCCTATAATATGTCTACGCTCAGAATGGCCATGAATAACCCACTTGCATCCAATGTCAATCAATTGTTCAGCACTGGATATTGCAAAATGCAAAAGGAAACGGAACAAATAAGTAAATGATACCTATACAGGAGGCAGAAGGGACAAATTGCAAGAAAACAAAGGGCTCTTTAACTGGAAACACTTTCTCGGGCAAAAAAATCATATCATATGAGGAAGACGAAACACCAAATAAATTACTAAGTAGTTTCAGCTTATTTATGCTTCCAAATAAATTAGGAAGGTGAAGAATGGTAAGGAGGTTAATGTTTGACATCAGATTTCCTGGGTGGAGCTATTCCCCAACCACCTTAGTTTATCATATAAAGTTAAGATTCAATAATGAACACAAGACTGGAGTCATTGCCCAGGACGGTCCCGTATGGACTGGCTGGACCGGTCTAACAGACTCATCAATTTGGTCATAATTAACTTGATATTTCCCTGATATTGGACCGGTCTAACAGACTCATCGATTTGGCCATAATTAACTACATATTTCCCAGATATCCAAGCTAATGGAAATATTTAAAATAAAAAACCAGAGTTGAGCTGAGTGGAACTACATAAAATAATGTAAATGCAGTGGCAGTCTGAAAGTAATCTCAAGATGTTCAACAAGCCTCCGATGAGGTTAATGATGGTGTTGCTTATATGCATCTACAAGAGTGACACTTTTCCCATGCATACAGTGCACAAACACTTTACCTGATTTCTCCTGTAAAGGCTCCACCTTTTCCTATCCAAGAGTTCTGAGCAGATATCTCTATTCGATCAACCAATGAACGCTTTACTTGGTCAATGTAGATAAATGGGGGAGCTACAACAACATCTGCAGGAATAAACATCAAGAAACACATGTTGATACGTAAAAGTGTAATTAGCACTTAGTTATTCATGAATTGTCAGAAGAAACATCTCTTGCAAGAATTGTCAGAATTCATAAGCCATAACTTTTATTAAAAACTCAGTTAAATCCCATGTAAGCTATTCATGATTCAAATTAGACAAGAAACTGTAATTGGATCTCTTTTCATATTATATTTAAAAGCACTTTACGAATAAAAAATTGGGGTTTTAGGTAAAATTATAAGTGCAAATGGTAATTTTAGCCAATTTTAAAAACCTCCAGCAGCTTTTAAGATATATGATATTAATGATAACATTTGAAACCTGCAGGGTTAGAGAAATGAAATACAGAGAAGAAGAAGGATAACCAGAGAGAATGGTAGAAGCTGTCATTGTATTCATGTTATGTAGAATACAATATGTGGTATATATAAAGTAAGCTGAGACGGTATTAGATTGCCGTACTGTCCACGTGAGGTAGTGGAAGGTTGTTATAACGGAAAGCTTCTAGACCATGTGCCATGTAGGCTACCAGTGAGTGGTGCTATTATCCCCCCTCAAATTGACCTGTTGGAGACCTGATGGTCAATTTGGCACGCAAGTCTTGAAATCTGGCCGGAGGTAGGGACTTGGTGAGAATGTCAGCAGTTTGAGCAGAGGTGGGAATGTGAACAACCGTGATAGCCTTGCGGGTGATATGCTCACTGATAAAATGATAGTCAATCTCTATGTGCTTCGTGCGAGCATGGAATACCGTGTTGTTCGCGAGGGCGATAGCCGACGTATTGTCACAGAATATAGTGGTTGGTGACTGTTGAGGGAGGTGGAACTCGGCCACTAGGCGGCGTAGCCAAAGAACATCGAACACTGTTGATGCTAGCGAGCAGTATTCGGCTTCCGTTGACAATTTGGCAACTGTTGCTTGTTTCTTGACGCACCATGAAACTAGAGTCTTCCCAAGGAAGGTGCAAAAACCGATAACCGATTTTCTATCGGAGGAGTCTGCCGCCCAATCGGCATCGACATAGGTGATCAGTTGCAGATCGCCTTTGATAATTGGTAAGCTGTAGTGCATTGTGCCCTGAACATAGCGGAGCAGCCATTTCAAAGAGAGGTAGTCTCGGTTGGATGGGTGATGCATCTTCTGGCAAACTGAGTTGGTGACGAATGCTATGTCTGGACGAGTAATGGTGAGATACTGGAGCGAGCCAGCTAGTCTCCGATAGTGTTGAGGATCAGAGTATGGTTGATCGTCTGTAGATACCGATTTCGGCGTGGGGGAGCTCGGAGTGAGTGCAGGTTTGCTGTTGTCGAATCCTGCGGCGATGAGAAGATACTTGGCATAATGCTGCTGGTGCAGGAAATAGCCAGACGGTGTTTTATCCACTTGTATTCCCAGGAAAAGGGAGATGATGCTGAGTTGTTTGAGGGAGAAATGAAGTTGTAATTCAGAGAGTAAATTCTGGATCATGGAGGGAGCATTGCCGAGTAGTAGCAGGTCATCTACATAGATGAGAAAATAAAGTTGTACGTGATTTCTGGAACACACAAGGAACGACGGATCTGCTTTGCTGAAGCTAAATCCGAATTACAACAGGAAAGTTGTGAGCTTGCTAAACCACTGCCGAGGAGACTGTTTCAGGCCGTAAATAGATTTATGCAACCGGCAGACGTGATCAGGGTATTGACGATCTATGAACCCCGGAGGCTGCATCATGTATACTTCGTCATTTAAGTCTCCGTGAAGAAAAGCATTGGCTACATCGAGCTGCAAGATGGGCCAATTGTTATGGAGGGCGACTGTGAGCAAGATACGAATAGTGGGCATTTTGGCCACCGGACTAAAGGTGTCCGTATAGTTGATGCCTTTCTCTTGTGTGTAGTCTTGAGCGACCAGCCGTGCCTTGTAGCGATCAACTTGACCATTGGGATGAAGTTTGGTTTTAAACGTCCAGCGACAACCCAAAACAGGTTTATTGGAAGGAGAAGGTACCAAGGACCAGGTACCTTGTTTCTGCAATGCTGCGTATTCTGAGGACATGGCTTCCCTCCACTGCCGGTGTTGGATTGCTTGTTTATAGGTGGAGGGAGTAGAGCAAGAGCCGGTGGTAGCTAGAAGATCAAAGACCAGTTTGGGTTTAGAGTGGCCTGTTTTAGAACGAGTGAGCATAGGATGGTGAGATATAGTGGATTGTGGAGGAGGCAGGTCGACAGAGTGAGGTAAATTAGTATGTGGTGCAGTGGTGTGGGGTGGTGGAGAAAGAGGAGGTTGAGTAGTGTCACCCGTGAAGGGTGTGGACTGAATGGGAGTAGTAGTAGAAACAGGAGAAGATGTGGAGAGTGTAGAAGTTGGAATGAGGAGGGGACACAGGGACTGAGACGATGATGGGGTGGATGAAATTGGAGGAGCTGTCTTGTAAGGAAAGACATTTTCATAAAATACTACATGCCGAGAGATGTAGATTTTACGTGTTGGAGGATGATAGCATCGATAACCTTTGTGAGAGGGAGAATAGCCTAAGAACAGACATTCTTGGGATCTTGGAGAGAGTTTGTTGGGAGCCTGAGGTCAGAGCCAAGGGAAACAGAGGCAACCGAACGTTCATAGGTGTAGGTATGAGGGAGGTTTGTTATGAAGTAGTTGGTAAGGTGATATCGGGTGAGTGGCTTTGGAGGGGAGACAGTTAATGAGGTAATTGGCTGTAGATAGAGCTTCGGCCCATAATGTGTGAGGTAGAGCTGAGGCGTGAAGTAAGGTGCGGGTGAGCTCAATGAGGTGACGGTGTTTGCGTTCGGCTAGGCCGTTCTGCTCGGGAGTGTTGGGACAACTGAGTTGGTGAGTGATGCCTTGATTGAGAAGGACGAGAGTGAAAATGCTGAAATTTAGAGAAGACTTCTTGCTTAGAATGTAGTAAGTAGAGCCAATTGAAACGGGAAAAATCATCTATAAAAACGACATAATAGCGATATCCATTCATAGAAGGCAAAGGGGCTGGACCCCATACATCGGAATGAACAAGCTGAAAAGGTTGAGAGGAGGAGCTTAAACTAGAGCTAAATGATAACTTGTGGATTTTAGCCACGTTACACGAGACACAGACGAAAGGAGAAGACGAGGAAGTACATAACGTTGGAATAGATTTAGCTAAAACCAAAAGTAGCGGGAGGTGAGGATGCCCAAGTCGTCCATGCCAGAGAGACGTCGAGTTGGTAGTGGCACGTAGAGCTTGAGGTGCTTGTGAAGGGATGCGGAGAGGATAGATGCCGTCATGGTTGCGACCACGAAGCAGAATGTGATTGTCCAGAAGATCCTTAATGACGAAGTCATGGGAGTCAAATGAGATAGAAACATTATTATCAGCGGTGATTTTGAAAATTGAAAGAAGGTTATGCGATAACGTGGGGACATGAAGAAGATTGTGGAGATAGAGCTTACGGTTGGTGTCGGGAAGAGGAAGCAATCCTTGACCAGTGTGGTGGATGGGTAGCATGTTTCCAATTGCAATGGAGATGGAATCGTTCCCTGTATAAAGAGCTGGCTCTTGCAGTTGAGAGACATCGGACGTTAGGTGTGTGGAGGCTCTAGAATCCAGTCGGATGTGGCTGAGGGGTTCTGATGAGTGTAGAGAGCACGGTTGTTGGGTTGAGTTGTCGGTGCATACTGGAGATTGCACCTGTGCCAGCAATTTAGAGCTATGTGACCAGATTTCCCGCAAATCTGACAGGTAGGGCGTGTATAGGAGGAGGACTGAGGCGATTGTGGAATGTTGCTGGAAGCGGTTTGCCGTGTTCCTTGTCCTCGGTTTCGCTGGGAGCTACTTTGGGAGTAGTTTGTTGACCGCCCTCTGTTGGTATTGGTCCTGTTGGAGTATAGAGCGGTGTGCTCTGGATTGGTAGCCATTTCACGCCTTTGTTCATTGCGAAGGTTGATCTCCTCGCTACAGAGTAAGGAATACAGGACCTCAAGACTGATTGGTTGCAAAGCAGTTCGAATAGCACTCTTGAAAGGATTGTATGCAGAGGGTAGCCCGTTGAGGATATATAATATTATATCTTCAGTATCTACATAAGATCCTGAGCCGGCGATATTGTCAACTAGTGTTTTGATTTGAATCAGGTATTGCATCATGGTCGAATCTCCCATTTGGATGTGATGAAGCTCATTTTTGAGCTGAATCACGCAAGAGCGGTTTGTGGGTTGTAATCTCTGTTCAAGAGTTTGCCAAACTGCATTAGCGATAGAAAGGTTCAGGACATACGATAGAACGGCAGGATAAATGGTAGAAAATAAGGCTGATATCAGATTCCGATCAACAAGAATCCAGATACGATAGGCTTCAGTGGGTTGGGTAGGATCAGAGATCTGTAGACAGGGTGTAGTTCCCGTTAGATGACCCTCAAAGCCATTTGCGAAGAAATGCTGAAGTATTTGGATACACCAGATGGAGTAATTTTCACTGGTTAAGGCTGTAGGAACGATGTGTTTGAGATTCGAGATCAAAAATTTGAGAGAAGGGGGGATTGTAACTTCAGTGGTGATTGCTGAAGTGTTGGAGATCTACGGCAGAGACGAAGCAGAAGCTTGATCGGCCATGGATTGAATTGTTGTGCTGCAGAGCTATAGCTCTGATACCATGATAACATTTGAAACCTGCAGGGTTAGAGAAATGAAATACATAGAAGAAGAAGGATAACCAAAGAGAATGGTAGAAGTTGTCATTGTATTCATGTTCTGTAGAATACAATATGTGGTATATATAAAGTAAGCTGAGACGGTATTAGACTGTCGTACTGTTCACGTGAGTTAGTGGAAGGTTGTTATAACGGAAAGCTTCTAGACCATGTGCCATGTAGGCTACCAGTGAGTGGTGCTATTAATTAATAATATTTCACAATAAAGGAAAGGAAGCTACCCAATCCAAACCTTATATTTTTTTGGATTTACTAAAATTAGCTTATGATGGCCACTTTGAGACAATTCCC